CAGCACCATGGACAGCTCACAGTGAGGTGCCCTCAGCACCACAGACAGCGCAGAGTGAGGTTTCTTCAGTACCACGGACAGCTCACAGTTAGGTGCCTTCAGCACCATGGACAGCTCGCAGTGAGGGTAACTTCAGCACCATGGACAGCTCACAGTGAGGTGCCTTCAGAACCATAGACAGCTCACAGTGAGGGTAACTTCAGCACCATAGACAGCTCACAGTGAGGGTAACTTCAGCACCATGGACAGCTCACAGTTAGGTGCCTTCAGCACCATGGACAGCTCACAGTGAGGTGCCTTCAGCACCATGGACAGCTCACAGTGAGGTGCCCTCAGCACCATGGACAGCTTACAGTGAGGTTCCTTCAGCACCATGGACAGCTCACAGTGAGGGTAGCTTCAGCACCATGGACAGCTCACAGAGTGTTAGGCAAATTCAGCACCATGTACAGCTCAATGAATGGGCCTTCATGCCTACAACCAGGTCACTCTGTAGGTGCACCATCTCATCAGATCTCATCAGCGCAGCAGGGTTGAGCCTGCTCATTACTTACGGCAGCCCGCCTGGGAGTACGAGCTGTTGCAGGCTGGTGCAGCGACGTGACTAGGAAATGGCAGCACAGCAGCGGTTTCTTGAACTTGTATAGAGCATCATGGTGCCTTCCTTTGCCAGTACCAAAATATAAGGATAGGTTTTACCCTTTCCTGCAATAAAACAGTTGTTAAGACGTTAAAGCGCCAGATATAAACCTTTTTGCAAGGAATTACGTCTGCATTAACCACACGTGTTTCCGGTGAACATGCAAACAAAAAAAAATCCTTTGAGCGTTACAACCCCTCGCAACTGTGCTGACAAATGCAGTCTCCCCTCCCCCCTCTTCACGAGAAGCCAACCTCTCATTAATGGAATTGGGTCAAAAATCCCAATGTAGCAGGCAGGGCCGTCTAGAGGGGAGGGGTACGGGGCAGAGACCGTGTGCCCCCCCCCCCGAAGCCTTCAAACTAAACCGGAAGTGTTGTATCTAATAAGCTCTTGTACAGAGGCAACCTGGCCACGCGTGATCGCTCATCGCCGTGGCTGATATCATCATCGTCGCCTTTACCACCGACACACGTGGGAATTCACAGTCGCAGCCAAACAATCCGAGTGTGGAGGAGGGCAACATTTGAGGAAGCCTCAGGAACATTCCGCGCGGGCCAAAGCAACGGCGGGCGCGGCCAGGGCCCGGGGCATCGAACCCCGCGGCGTCGTGCGCACGCCAGCCGAGGGAGACGGTACCTCGTCGCCACCGCGACGCCGTTGCGAGCGAGCGACGCGTGCTCGGTGCCCGTGGGCTGCGAGCCGTTCGTCGAATCGACGCGCGCGTGTTCGGGAAGGAGAACATGAGAGAGAGAGAGAGAGGAGAGGTACGCACTGTGGGATAAATGTTTCTAAAATTGGCTCCCGATGCTGGAATGGGTCTCGGTAAACCGTATTCCACCGGGGAATTAAGGACTCACGTCGCCCCTGTCCAGCGTTGCTATTAAACAATTGCTCGCACGCACACAAACATAGAGACCCCCCCCCAACCCGCCCGCCCGCCCGCCCCCCGGAAGCCCTGAACAGACTGTCGGGGCAAGTGCTGCTAGCGCACAGCACACCAGCCGGGTGAAGTGGCCAGCAGGACCACGCACGGCCGCCTTTGTCTCCCCAATGGGGATGTTTACACACCGCGCCAGGTACTCATTCTCGGACTGAGTCGGCCTAAGGGAGACCCAGGACGGGTTTAGATATTCGTCAGCGGTTTTGGTGGCCTTGAGTGGGAATCGAACTCGGGTCGCTGGTTTCATAACACAGCGAGATAACCACTACACCACCGCTCCCCACAAGTAGATTGGTGCATAGTGCAACGGTGAAATGCAGTACAAAGGTATGATGCAGTACACTATGGTACAAGAATACAATGCAGTACAAGGATATGATGCAGTACACTACAGTACAATAATACAATGCAGTACAAGGGTATGATGCAGTACACTACAGTACAATAATACAATGCAGTACAAGGGTATGATGCAGTACAATGCTGTACCAGAGTATGATGCAGTACATTACAGTACAAAATTACAATGCAGTACAAGGGTATGATGCAGTACACTACAGTACAATAATACAATGCAGTACAAGGGTATGATGCAGTACACTACAGTACAATAATACAATGCAGTACAAGGGTATGATGCAGTACAATGCTGTACCAGAGTATGATGCAGTACATTACAGTACAACATTACAATGCAGTACAAGGGTATGATGCAGTACACTACAGTCCAAGAGTACAATGCAGTACAAGGGTATGATACAGTACACTGTAGTACAAGGGTATGATGCAGTACACTACAGTAAAAGAGTATACTACAGTACAAGGGTATGTTGCAGTACACTACAGTACAAGAGTACACTACAGTACAAGGGCATGATGCAGTACATTGCAGTACAGGACTACAATGCTGTAAAAGGTTATGATGCAGTACATTGCAGTACAAGAATACAATGCAGTACACTGCAGTACAATGCAGTAGACTGCAGTACAATGGAACAATTCAATACAAGGGTTCGATGCAGTACAATGCGGTTCAAGATGGATGCAGTACAAGATGGACGCAGTGGGGTAAAGTGTGGGTAACCCCACCTCTATCCAAGACGTCTGGCCAGGGTGGTTGAGCTCTCTAAAGCATCTTCTGGCCGGAGGTCCCTTTCCGCCAGCAGTGGCTGGCGCAGAAGACTGCAGCGCTGCGCCTCTACCTCCCGCAGAGAGGCCACGCGTGGATGTAACCGGAATGTAAATCCCTCCAGTGGGAGGGGCGGAGGGAGAGGCCGAGGGAGGGGCGGAGGGAGGGGCGGTGATGACTTGGACCACCTCCTCCTTCCCCCCGCCATGCCTCTCCCCCCACCAACCTCCACCATGCCACCCCCCCCACCACCACCCCCGCCCCCCCCCCCGGGACCAACGCACACTGGGACGAGGAGAGAGGGGGGTGAGCGACGTGGGGGGGGTGGGGGGGGGCAGCTCAGCACTGCCTGTGCCATGTCGCTACAATCTCCGGCACAAAATGCCGACGCGGTGTCAGATCGCTTGCCACGGCGCGTCCGGCGGGCGAGCGGGCGAGTGGGTGAGCGAGTGGGTGAGTAGGTGAGCGAGTGGGTGAGCGGGTGGGCGAGTGGGTGAGCGTGTGAGCGAGTGAGTGAGCGAGTGGGCGAGTGGGTGAGCGGGTGGGCGAGTGGGTGAGCGAGTGGGCGAGTGGGCTGAGCGATTGGGCGAGCGGGTGAGTGGGCGAGTTGGCGAGTGGGCGAGTGGGTGAGCGGGTGGGCGAGTGGGTGAGCGGGTGGGCGAGTGGGTGAGCGGGTGGGCGAGTGGGTGAGCGGGTTGGCGAGTGCGAGTGGGTGAGCGAGTGGGCGAGTGGGCTGAGCGAGTGGGCCAGCGGGTGAGCGGGTGAGCGGGTGGGCGAGTGGGTGAGCGAGTTGGCGAGTGGGCGAGTGGGTGAGCGGGTGGGCGAGTGGATGAGTGGGTGGGCGAGTGGGTGAGCGGGTGGGCGAGTGGGCGAGTGGGTGAGTGGGTGGGCGAGTGGGCCCAGGCCACAACGACGCCGGCTCCCGTGGTGCGCAACGGCGCTCCGGAGGCCGACATCCGCGACCCCACGGCCAGCGTGACAAGATCACCCTCCTCGTAGGTGACCCCAGCACTACCAGTGTCACAAGGATCCTACCAGAGAAATACCGACTGTCCCGGTGACACCGACCGCGCCAGTGTGATACCGACCGCCCCGGTGACACTAACAGTGCCACTCAAACTGACTGTCCCGGTGATACCGACCGCCCTGGTGACACCGACTGTCCCGGTGACACCGACCGCGCCAGTGTGATACCGACGTGAATCTCCCAATGACCTTCCCGTCTCGTCTGTGACACGCCAATCAAATCCACGGTTCAGTGATCCGACCGAATTCCACAGGCGAACTCGACATCAATGCTGAAAAACGTATTGACCGTGCCAATCTAATAACACAAAATATAATCTATTCATTCGTCGTAGAGGTGGGGGGCGGGGGATATTTGACCATATTTCACCACACTGGTTATTGTGGTTTGGTGAAGGTGGTGGATGGATTTCGCTACCACTGCTCTCCACCGACCGCCACAAAGCGCCTCCGATTAGCACGGTTGGCTACGTACGGTGCGAAAGAAGTTCAAAACACAGACGGACATACGTACGCTCACCAACCTCACCGCCGATTTACCGGACCCACGCTCACCAACCTCACCGCCAATTCACCAGAGCCACGCTCACCAACGTCACCGCCGATTCACCAGAGCCACGCTCACCAACCTCACCACCGATTCACCAGAGCCACGCTCACCAACCTCACCACCGATTCACTAGAGCCACACTCACCAACCTCACCACCGATTCACCGGACCCACGCTCACCAACCTCACCGCCGATTCACCAGAGCCACACTCACCAACCTCACCACCGATTCACCAGAGCCACGCTCACCAACCTCACCACCAATTCATCGGACCCACGCTCACCAACCTCACCGCCGATTCACCAGAGCCACACTCACCAACCTCACCACCGATTCACCAGAGCCACGCTCACCAACCTCACCACCAATTCACCGGACCCACGCTCACCAACCTCACCGCCGATTCACCAGAGCCACACTCACCAACCTCACCACCGATTCACCAGAGCCACGCTCACCAACCTCACCACCAATTCACCGGACCCACGCTCACCAACCTCACCGCCGATTCACCGGACCCACGCTCACCAACCTCACCGCCGATTCACCAGAACCCCACCACTGACCTCACTGCTGCCCAACGAACCCCCACCGCCGAAACACCGACCCCCCAACACCAACAAAAACCCGGACTGCACCACAAACCAACCAACCAACCAACCCACGCCACCGCCACAACCGCGCCACGCACCCCTCCTGTCCCGGCGCACCTGCGGGGGAGGGTGGTGGTGGTGGTGGTGGTGCGCGTGCACCCAGGAGGGTTCGTCGCCCCACCACGCGGCAGCGCCGTGCGGCACGTGCGCAGGCGCCGCCGCCGGAGCAGAGTGGCCCCTCGCCATCGTGCGGCTGACGCCGCCGCCGCCGCCGCCGCCGCCGCCCCCGCTGTGGCCCGACCCGCGCGGCCGATCGTCGAGGGCCACGGGGCCAGGGCCCCTGCGAGAGGGAAGCGTGGAGGACGCGCCGTAGCCGCCGCCGCCGCCGCCGGCACCGCCGGCACCGCCGGGCGGTTTGTGAGAGGAGGGAGGCGGGGAGGCCCGACCTCCGCCGTGAGGGCCTCCGCCGTACCAGCAGTTGGCCCCCACGGCCGTGTCGCAGCAGTCCGGGTCGCCGCAGCAGTAGTCCATGCGGTAGCCGTAGGCGGTCATGGTGTGCCGGGCCGGAGTCCGACTCGGTGATCACTGCCCGCCGCTGCCGGCCGTTCCCGTCACGGACGACGCGCGCCGACGCATCTCCGCGCGGCCGTCATCGGTGGTAGTGGGGGTCGCGGGAGGGTGAAGGTGGTGAGGCGGTGGAGGAGGCGGTGGGTGGGGGCGAGCCTTCCGCACGGATTTCTGGCACCGGGCCGCGTGAACTCTGCTGCCCGCGTGTTCGGTCGTGGCTTCTCGGCACGCGGGGGTGGGGGGGTCCTTTCTTGGGCTGCCCCGAGAGATGACACTTTGGGGCCTTACCTGGCCTGGCCTCGCCCGACGGTCCTCCTCAAGAGGTCAAACGCTCGGCGAGGGTCTCCTGCCGGCGTGCGTCGCTCCGGTGCGCGCCGGGAGGCGGCCGCGGCAGCGCCGGCCTCTCCGACCGGCGACGGAAGCGCGAGGCGCCGTCGCGTAGGGGACGGCGGGTGGAGTCCATGGAACGTCGGGGTCGATGGACTTCGGGGGGAGGGGGGGTGGGTGGGCCGGGCGACGGTGAGGCGAGGCCCTCTGCGTGCGACGAGAGAACGTCACGGCCGAGAGGATGCGCCACTGGGCGGCGTCGGAAGGCCTCCACCACCACCACCACCACTGTGAAATCCTCTCGGTCACCCTCTCGCCCCTGCGATCGTCGCAGCTGCTCCTGCTGTTGCTGCTGCTCCTGCTGTTGCTGCTCCTCCTGCTGTTGCTGCTGCTCCTGCTGTTGCTGCTCCTCCTGCTGTTGCTGCTGCTCCTGCTGTTGCTGCTGCTCCTGCTTCCTGCTGTTGCTGCTGCTCCTGCTGTTGCTGCTGCTCCTGCTGTTGCTGCTGCTCCTGCTGTTGCTGCTGCTCCTGCTGTTGCTCGTATGAGCGGCGCTCTTCACCGTAGCGGCGTCTGCTGCTGCTGCTGCTGGCGCATTTCGCCGGCTACGTGCCACGGATTTCTAATCAAGCGCTCACGATTGACGGCAGCTCTCTCCTCTCGCTCTACTCTCGCTCTCCCGGAGGATCTCGCACACACACACACACGCTCGGGCTAACGACCGCCTCTTCTTCCCACCTCGTTCTCCCCCCCCCCTCCTCTCTCGATGACGGAACCAGGAGCCTCTTAATATCGACGACGATGTCGCACGCTCTTCGCACACCCTCCCCTCCGTCCCCTCGCTCACCTCATCGCCCCGTGCGACGCGGAACGAACGAACGAACAAACAAACACGGCCGCCGTCAATGATTCACCGCCGGCCGCCGCAGTCGCAAATAGCAGGCGGGCTCTGTCGATTAAATTTTTTCAGCGGATTATTCTTGCCGGCGTCGCTGCGGAACGAGGGCGGTCGGGGCGGGTTGGAATCTATCGGCGCGGTGGCGATGGCGGTGGCGGTGTCACGGTCGTGGCCGCGCCGTCTGCGATTCTCCGCTTCGCTCCGATCGCCGCCGACAACCTCGTCCCCCCAAACGCGCTCGCTACCCCTTTGCCCGCTTGCCCAGCACCCGCACCCGTCCGTGTCACGTCCGTGTTGAACGACGAGGAGCGCAATGGAAGGCGCTCGGATAGCGACGGCGATCGAGCGAGCGAGTGAGCGAGCGTCGTCACTGCCACTGCTGTGCCGGATCCGGCGAGCGGCGCAAAGGATGAGCTCTCTCTCTCGATTTTCACATCCCCCCTCCCGTCTCCCTCCCTCCTCTTCCCTCCCTCCCTCCTCGCAGCAGCAGCAGCAGATGGATTTTCTCACCTCGCCTCTGCCCTCCCACCCACGCTTTATCCCCCCCACCCTTTCCGTCCCCCCTCGCTCTCCCTTTCCTCTCCTGCCTCTCTCCCTGCCTCTCCCCCTTGTTGCTGTGCGCTCTCTCAGCTCAGTTCGGAAGGGGAGGGAGCGGTGGGGGGGATACTAATTAGGGATTACAAATCACCCAGCCAGGCCGTGTGCATACACACATGCACTCACATTCAGACACACACATACTCACACACACAACAACAACCGCCACTCGCCACTAAGTGGCGGTGACGTCACCACGACGCTTGTGCCAGCCCATGTGCACCTTGAGGCCATGTGAAGTGTTAAACGCCCGCTGGCAGGGGGTCACGGGGCAGACCCAGGTGCCACGGGCCGATTGACTGAGATGACTGAGACGAATGGCTGATGCTCCACCTGTGCCCCGTACTGTGCCAAGTTGCTGTGCTTTAGCCACCCGGCGCTCCGCTCGTTGTTGTGAGCGTCGCTCCTCCACCCTCTGTTGTTGGAGGGTGACTGCCTCCAACTGCCCAGTAGCGTCCTTCACGAGCCTCCTCCACAGAGGCCGATCTTGACACCGCTGGTACGAGTCATCGGCAAGTCCACTCAGCTTCACATCTTCCTGTACCACATCACTCCATCTCTTCTCTAGCCCGTGCCGCGCCCGTTTAGCCCCCTCGATCCGGCTGAAAAAAAAGCTGTTTGGGCATGCGGTGATTGGGCATGCGGCCTACATGGCCCAGCCAATGCAGCCTTGCCTGCCAGAGGAGCTCACCGATGGGACTTTGTCCAGATCTTTCGAGGATTTGTGAGCTCCTCACATAATCCAGCCTGGTTTAACCCAGGATTGTTCGTAGGCAGGCCAGCCTAAATATATCTAACTGGCGAAGATGTTCCATTAGGGTGGTCCACGTTTCGCAAGCGTAGAGAAGGGAGGGAATGACTGTGGCCGAGAAGACCCGAAGCTTCGTGCGGAGCGACAGACCAGGTAGCTTCCACACAGCGTTACGCAACCGATGAAAAGATAATGCCACTCGACTGATTCGGAGTGATACCTCTGCTGTTAAACCGGAGCCGGTCATGAGCACACTGCCCAGGTATGGGAAACTCTGCACTCTCTCCACAACTGCCCCATCACCGATTGGGAGTTGTGGGGGTGGAGTGCTCGATGGTACAAAATACCCAGGCAGGTGCTTCGTTTTGGTGGGGCTGATGGTAAGGCCCCACCTCTTAGTGGCAAGCTCCAGTTTCAGCAGCAGCGCCTCCAACTCCTCCTCTGAGTGAGCTGCAATTACCAGGTTGTCGGTAGACATAACGTGATTGACCAATAGGGAGCCATCCCTTGACCGCACCCGGGCATCGATCAGCCTCCCATTGTATCTGTGCCAGATGGAAATTCCTCCGGTACAGCTACTGAAGGCTTCACCAACTATGTGGTCGAAATCGATGTTAAATAATGTTGGAGCCAGAGGACATCCCTGTCGCACCCAAGGTGTACAGGGAATGGCTCAGACTCTCGGCCACGTAGTTTTACCCGGGCCTGCTCACCATCATGAAGGTCCTTAATCAGCGTGAGCAAAGGGTCAGGGACTCCGAAAGCACGAATAACAACCCAGAGCCCAGGCCTACTAATGGTATCATAGGCCTTGACCAGGTCAATGAAGCAGAGATGTAGGTCTTGTTGGAATTCCCTACACCTCTGCTGTAGCAGACGGACAGAAAATATGGCATCTGTGCAGGACCGCCCTTTCCTGAAACCGCATTGGGGCTCCACAAGCTTCTCCTCAGCGTGCCTAGCAAGGCGATGTTGAATATTCCTTGCCAGGACCTTTCCCAGCACACTGAGGAGTGAGATGCCCCTGTAGTTGTTACAGTCTGTGCGGTCCCCCTTCTTAAAGAGGGGGACCACCAGGGCATCCTTCCAATCCTGCGGAATCCGTCCAGTGGCCCAGACTGTTGTTATGATGTCATGTCGGGCAGTCTGTGCATGACCGCCACCCTTTCCTGGTCTCAGACTCTGATTCGCCTTTAGTACTTCCTCACCGGATGGCACCTCAGCCAGCCACTCACAGGGGTGACTTCCTCCTCCAATATTTGAGGCACCGCAGCCTCAGCAGGGTCCCACTTTGTCCCACGATGTTTTCCAGGCTGAGGGATTTCCCCTCTCCAGGACATCACAGAAATGCTCAGCAAATCTGCAAACCTGTTCCTTGGGGTCAAAGATTGGATCATCGTTCTTTCCCCCAATGATGGTAATAGGTGTGGCGCTGCAGATAATTTTTTGATGGAGTTAAATAGGCATTTGTGATCGCGGGCCATTGAGGCAGACTCCATCTCCTCAGCAACCCGCGACCATCGCCCGTCCTTGCAGCGCCTCACGGCCCTCCGAACCTCCGAGCGAAGGCTGTGGTAAGCCTCCTCATTCTCTGTCGTGGGATGCTGTAGCCGATGAACGTGGGCCTGTCGCTTTTTCTCAACCATCCTGAATGCCTCATCTGTCAGCCCGGGTCTCTGGGGAGGTCTGGACCGCGTACCCAAAGCAGCCATAATATATACACACACACACATACACTAATACCAATACCCGCCATTCGCCACTAAGTGACGGTGACGTCACCACGGCGCCTGTGCCAGGCTAGGTGCACTTTGAGGCCACGTGAAGCGTCGAAGGCTCACTGACAAGAGGTCACTGGACAGACCCTGCAGGTCCCATGGGTTATGCTGACTGATTGGACCGGTAGATGCACCACCAGCTGTACCCCCCACTGTGCCCACTTGCTTTAATTTATCCGCCCGACGCTCCGCTCGTTGTTGTGAGCATCGCTCCTCTGCCCTCCGTCGTTGCTGGAGGGCGACTGCCTCCAACTGTCCAGTAGCAGCAGCAGCAGCGTCCTTCACGAGCCGCCTCCATAGAGGCTGATAATTGACACCGACCGCTGGTTACTGGTCGTACCAGCGGTCCCTCCATCCACTCCGCTTCTCTCCCTCACCCCCCACCCTCTGTTAGCTCTCACCAATCTCTCCCCAGTCTCTCTCCTTCCCTGTCGCCTCTCTCTTCCCATCTCTCCCACCGATTGCTCTCCCTCCTCCCCTACACCCTCCCCCCCCCACCACCTCTCCCTCCTCCCCCCCACCCTCCCCCCCCACCACCTCTCCCTCCTCCCCCACACCCTCCCCCCCCCACCACCTCTCCCTCCTCCCCCCCACCCTCCCCCCCCACCACCTCTCCCTCCTCCCCCCCACCCTCCCCCCCCACCACCTCTCCCTCCTCCCCCCCACCCTCCCCCCCCACCACCTCTCCCTCCTCCCCCCCACCCTCCCCCCCCCACCACCTCTCCCTCCTCCCCCATCACCTCTCCCTCCCCCCCCCACCAACTCTCCCTCTTCCCCCACCACCTCACCCTCCCCCCACCACCTCTCCCTCCTCCCCCACACCCTCCCCCCCACCACCTCTCCCTCCTCCCCCCCACCCTCCCCCCCCCCCACCACCTCTCCCTCCTCCCCCACCACCTCTCCCTCCCCCCCCCCCACCAACTCTCCCTCCTCCCCCACACCCTCCCCCCCACCACCTCTCCCCCCCCACCACCTCTCCCCCCCCCACCATCTCTCCCTCCTCCCCCACACCCTCCCCCCCACCACCTCTCCCTCCCCCACACCCTCCCCCCCCACCACCTCTCCCTCCTCCCCCCCCACCCTCCCCCCCCACCACCTCTCCCTCCCCCCCCCCCACCACCTCTCCCTCCTCCCCCGCACCTCCACCCCCCACCACCTCTCCCTCCTCCCCCACCACCTCTCCCCCCCCCACCACCTCTCCCCCCCCACCACCTCTCCCCCCCCCCACCACCTCTCCCTCCTCCCCCACACCCTCCCCCCCCCCCACCACCTCTCCCCCCCCACCTCTCCACGCCTCTGCTGCTGCTGCGCTAACGCTGCGATTGTGATTCAGGCTGCGGAGCAGAGCGGGCGATCGACTGCGTCGTCCATCCTCAACGCCCACGCGCGCCAGACCCGAGCAATCGATCATGCAATCCGCCGGCCAGCCCCCCGCGTGCGGGGGGGGGGGCACGACCTCTCCGCCAATCAGCGACGTTTTGTCTCGACTCTTCCTTTATGAGCTCACGCCTCAAAAATTACTTCCGAAGTTCGTTTACGTAATCATCGTAATGATGACGACGACGTCGACGATAACAGCAGTGGCAACAATACAAATAATGCAGCATACATGTCAACCCCTTATCAGCGCCTACCTTATCACGGACCAATTCCGACCTTATTCGTCACCCCGTGCCCCTATAAATCTTAACGTTCATCCGACAAAGTCCGATCCCAAGGGAGAAACACAAATGCAATGTAGACTGATTTTGCCCGTATTGAAACGGCTGTATGCTTTATGGACCTGAAAACTCAATTTCCCTGTACACGAATACAGGTAAACCGTATGGGTATGCTGTCTTACATTTGGGAGGGATGGGAACGCGCACGCTGCTGTTGCACAGAAGCAGCATGCCGAGTCGCGTGCGATCCCAACTGGGTCAAGGTAATATTTGTCGTAACTCACAAGGGCGAGTAAGGTTAGTCGACTGTAAGCGGCAGTAATCACGAACCGAATGACACAATTCATTATTAATTACAGTCACAACAGCAGGTATCACCAACATTCATAACGTTACTATTTGTAGCTCATCCTTAGGACCGGCTAAAGCACGCGGTGTGGTCACGTCACGCCGGCCCTGTTGCATGGGGGACTTCATGGTGGCCATGTTGCATGAGGTACGTTATGGCGACCATATTGCACGGGGGGGACTTCATGGGGGCCATGTTGCATGGGGGACTTCATGGCGGCCATGTTGCATGGGGGACTTCATGTTAGCCATGTTGCATAGGGGACTTCATGGCGGCCATGTTGCATGGGGGTTGTTTTCCTG